CCTACATAATGTTCACTTCAAGCATTGTATTTGTCTCCAAGTATTAACAAGTTAACTGTGACTAAAAATTAGGTCAATATTTTATAGAATTAGTTTAAAGGTGAGGACTGGTCATCTCTCCTCTATGCTCCACTGAAAGCCCTTTTTATTCAATCACAAACATCAGTAAAACATTTAGATATACTTTTAAAACGCAGATATATTAAGTAAACTGAAGCAAATTACAAATAATGCTCTAAAAGATGTTTGTGAAATATTCAGTATTTATTTGTTTTTACTTTCAGCCCTGTCATTACTCATCAAACTGTAAACTAGCTTTACATCACTTTTGCTATTTATTAACTAACAGCTCTGGTCAACAAACAAAATTCACTTAGAAAGAAAAAAAGATGCTAAAGACAAATCATTATAATGCTCTATCACCAGGAATATATACAGAAGGACCAAAAATGTAATTGTGGCCATAAATGATCTAATTTTCTTATCAACGAATGTCCAGGCAAATAACGTGTCTTCTCTCTCAAAATTCCAACACTATAAAAGTTAAAGTCGACATTTTATGAAAAATCTTTAAAAATCATAATGTTATCTGGTCATAAAACTAATCACATTAGAATTACTAAGGAAAAGAACATAAGGAAAAAACTCACTTTATATAGTATCTTGCACCTTCAAAAGTATATGCTTCTTCCCAGCCAGTAGGCAAATCTAAAACACACATATTTCACAATTAGTGTTCCTTCAGTGGGATAACAAAATAAATTTCAGTCATTTTAATCATTCATGTTTCATGATCAGCTATTTTCATTTATTAAGTAGGTTTCCAACCAAATAAAACTTATAGTAGATATATCATTTTGGGAAAATGGCAATTCAAATTGAAAACCTCCAGAAAAGTCTCACGATATTAGAGATTATGTGACATGACTATACACTTAAATAATCAGAGTGGAGAGGAGCTACACTCCGGCATCCAAAAAAACAAAGGGAAGCCTTCTAATCTTAGGTAAAAATTCTCACGAACAGTTGGCCAAAAAAAAAAAAAACTGAAAAAAAAACAAAAAAACTACATAAAAGGCAACACCTGCTGCTTCTTAAGGACACTGCATCTCTTTAAGACCATACCTTTCAGCTACGTGAATGAATGCATCCAGAAAGTGTCACTGATGAAAAAGAACTTTCTGAGTACTTAATCAGGGGAAAAGAAATCTGACATCACATACTTAAACGTGTTTCTATAGACTTGACTTTAAGAAATGTGAAATTTCAAGTAATAAACCTGGGAATAATTCAGGTTAGCCAAGGTAACTTTATGTGCTACGTATTACTTACAAATGACTAGTGGCTTGGAGTTAATCATAATACTTCTCTGAAGTAAAAAACCATTGATGTGTGTATAAAACCAGAGTCAAATCAAAGTAAACCAAAACAGAAAAATATCATAAGCATGTTTTTTAAAAAAATTAACGTGAAATAAGAGAATACAATTTTTCTGTAGTGTGAACGTTATCAAATCTGTGGGGGTAAATGGGATATGTTTACACATAACCAAAGCAAGAAACAATTCCAGAAGACGATGAGGCTAAATAATTTAAAGACCATATTGTCTTCTGAAATAAATTTATTATCTATAAGGCAAAGAGGCCAGCAAAGTTGAAATATGTATGCAAAATATTGAAAGGTATATTGAAGTCAAGACTTCTCTGGGGAGTTAAGAAATGACAGTGTTATTAGTCAGAAATGCCTTAAAAACGTAACTTCGTGTTTGCTACAGCAACATTCTCTTTCCTCCTCCACCTTTTTGCAAATTTGGAGACATTACTCATTTCAGTGAACTCCACAATTTAAAAGAAAAGGCAAGTTTATTCAATTTCTTGGCAACTTTAAGAGACTTACAGAATCTCCGAGTTAAAGTACTATCTTGGAGGGCAGCTCTAAAGGACTGCTGAAGGCGGCCCCACCTTCGACCTCAACTGTTCTCAAACCTTTCCAATCACCAGAAATAGAGGCAGGCCAGCAAGAGAACGCATGTTACATTTCAAAGACAAACAACTTTCACGTATGTAAACAAAAAATGACAAAAGAAAGCCAGACCAGCAGCGAAGCTACAACCAGCTCTTCTCCAGCTCAACTCACATTTACCATTTAAACTAGCTACCAAAGGCACCGGAGAGATCTGCTTCCCCGCCGACCTCCACTATTAGTGCACAAATGCCCACACGTGGGACACCCCCTTGCACGCCCACCGCCTCCTGGCGGTCTGTGCAACCTCAGCGCTACTGCCGGGGACTCTGAATCCGGCTGGCCAGTAACTGCAGCTGCAATGCCTGCTCCGGCTCCGGCTGCTCCTCCCGAAAGGAGGGAAAGCGCCCAGCATTTCCAGAACTGTTCACGGTCAGAGAGGATCACCGCACCACCACCGCCCCCGCCCCCAAACTCCTCTCCTCCTCAATCAACCACCAACCCACAAATTCCACCTAGGAGGAGGAGGAAGCTGCACGGCAGGGGGCAGCTCTCCCGGGAGGAGGGAGAGGCCGTGAATACCGAATCCTGGCGGACCGCTGGCAGGGTCCCGGGCTGCAGGGAGGGGAGTGGGAAAGGACTTCCTAAAGGTTGAAAAGAGGTGGGGGCGGGAAAAAAGGATGCTTGGAGGAGGGGGAGGAGGGGCAGGAGGGGGATTCGGGAGTGGTTGCGGGAAGAAAAACTCAGAATTTCAGATTTCCTGGGAGAGGGGACTCGGCCACCCCAGGCTCATGGGGGGGGGGGTGTCCAGGTTGAGATGGGGGAGCGGACGCTGGAAGAGGGCGCCGTCTCCAAGTGGTGATGAAAGGCTGCAGAGAAGAGAAGGGTCCAGAGACTCGAGAGAACTCCGGCGGCGGGCACCCCGTGGTCTTTATACCTGCGGCCACCCCCGCCGACCTCCGCCCCACCTCGCCGCCTCCCAGGGACGGCGGTTCGGGGCAGGTTGCCGGAAGGCTGGCGGCCAGGGTTCTGCCGCCTCCTCCCGACGGAGCCCAACTCTGCTCGGGCCCGGCCGGGCTCCGCGTTACCTGTGCTGTGCCGCCGGTGTCCGGTGACCACGGCCTCGCCGGTGACGGGGTGCAGCCAGGTGGTGCTCTTCGCCTCCTCGCTGCAGGGGTGAGAGAAGGGGCAGAGACCGAGCGTGAGTGGGAGCGCCGGAGGAACCGAGGGGGCTGAAGCGGCACAGACCGGGCTCGCTCTCCCCCTCTTGCCAGCCTCCCAACCTTCGGGCCCCCGCGCCGTCCCCGGCTCTTTACTTGATGAAGAAGACTCGGCCGCCCCTGGTGATCCCGTAAGTCCAGGACCGGGGCAGGGAGCAGATCCACTCCAGGTTCAGATCCGCCGCCATGTCTGATCCCCAGCCGTCGCCGCCGCCTTCTCCTACTGCCGCCGCGGGAGGAGGGAGGGAGCGAGCGAGCGAG